TATCTATTTTACGTTTGGTAGTGTATGTATGTCCATGCCACTCTCTCACTTTGTCACAGCTTACCCTTCCCTCTCCCCATATCCTCAAGTCCATTCTCTAGTAGGTCTGTGTCTTTATTCCTGTCTTACCCCTAGGATCTTCAGGAAATTTTTTTTTTCTTAGATTCCATATATATGTGTTAGCATACGGTATTTGTCTTTCTCTTTCTGACTTACTTCACTCTGTATGACAGACTCTAGGTCCATCCACCTCACTACAAATAACTCAATCGTGTTTCTTTTTATGGTTGAGTAATATTCCATTGTATATATGTGCCACATCTTCTTTATCCATTCATTCGATCATGGACACTTAGGTTGTTTCCATCTCCTGGCTATTGTAAATAGAGCTGCAATGAACATTTTGGTACGTGACTCTTTTTGAATTATGGTCTTAAGCCAGTACAAAAGCCAGGAACAGCTAAGAGACTCCTTAAGACTGAGATAAGGTAGGTGGGTTTTCTCTACTGGATATCAAGACTTAATTTAGAAATCTTATTAAATGAGTACCAGACACTCCAGTACTGTCATTGGATAAATGATGAAACAGAATATAGGGCCTCCAAAAAAGATCTTTGATATTTATAAAAGAGATAGTATTGCAGGTCAGTGGGTAGAGGACAGACATTTCAATGAATAGTACTGGGACAATTGACTATCAGTATGGGGGAAATAATATGGCAAAAAATGAGTTTCAGGTTGATAAAATATCAAAATGTAAAATGTAAGGTCATAAATCTTTCAGAAGATAGTATAAGAGAATATCTTTATGATTCAGGTTAGGGAAGGAATTCCTAACTAAAATACCAAAGGCACTAACCAGAAAGGAAAAGATTCATACATTAAATATTAAGCTGCGTTAAAGCTGTAAGAAAAAAACAAACAAAAAAAGAAAGATAGTAGATAAAATAAGCTATATGATGAGAAATGATGTTTTCAACACAAAATCAGCAAAGAACTAACATAAAACATATAAAAATTTCACTATTCATCATGACAATAGAGACAGACAGTAGAAAAAACAAGCAAAAGATTTAAACAGGTACTTCACTAAGGAAGGAATTCACTTGGCTGAGAAACATGTGAAAGGTGCTCAACTTTAGTGCATCATTGAAATGCAAATTAAAACCAAATGAGATAACATTATGTAAGAATTAATAACAAAAATATTGATAAGGATATGAAGTATTCAGAACCCCTTTGAAAAAATTAGCATCATCTTTTAAAATCGAAGATCCTCATGAACCAGAAATTCTTTTCCTAACTATATTCCCTTGAGAAGCTTGCCCTAATGCACCATAATACATATGCAAGAATTTCATTCCAGCATTGTTGAATTTTCAAAATTAGAAATGACTTAAATGTCTATTGGTAATAAAATGAACAATCTGGGTTAAACTCCTAACATGGAATATTATACAGCATGAAAATACCCACACTATAGCTATATACAGTAGCATGGATGAATTTCACAAGTATAATGTTGAATTATAAAAGCAAGACAGAAATTTATACATACAGATTTTTTCCAATTACATAATATTGAGAAGGAAAATATTGAGTAAGACTGAGTATTTAGATGGTTACAAAGCAATGAAATTAAGAGAATGAACTGACAGGCATATGTGATAAAGGTCTGGTACTGAAAATATATAGAGAACTTAACACTCAACAGTAAGAAAAAAATTTAAAAATGGGCCCAATTGAAAAACAGGCAAAAGTTCTGAACAGATACCTCACCAAAGAAGATATTCAAATGGCAGGAAAGCATACAAAAGATGCTCAATAACATATGTCCTCAGGGAATTACAAATTAAACAACAATGAGCTACCACCACACACCCATTAGAATGGCTAAAATACTGACAACACCAAATGCTGAAGAGAATGTGGAACAGCAGGAACTCTCATTGTTGATGGGAATGGAAAATGGTACAGCCAGCTTAGAAGAGAGTTTGGCAGTTTCTACAAAATGAAACATACTCTTATTATATGATCCAGCAAGTACACTCTAGGTATTTACCAAATGAGTTGAAAACTTATGTTAACACAGAAACCTGCCCACTCATGTTTATAACAGCTTATTCATAATAGCCAAAACCTGGAAGCAACCAAGATGTCCTTTAGTAGGTGAATGGATAAACTCTGGTACATTCTTATAATTGAATATTTATTCAGTGGCAAGAAGGAAATGGTCTATCAATCCACAAAAAGACATGGAGGAAAGTTAAATGCATATTGCTAAGTAAAAGAACCCAATCTGAGAAGGCTATATACTCATATGGTTCCAACTATATGACATTCTGGAAGAGGCAAAATTATGGAGACAGTAAAAAGATCAGGGTGGCCAGGATTTGGGAGAGGGATGGAGGGATGAATAAGTGGAAGACAGGGTATTTTTAGAGCAGTGAAACTATTCTCTACGATATTGTAATGGTGGAATATGTCATTATACATATGTTAAAACCTGTGGATTATATAACACAAAGAGTAAACTCTAATGTAAACTATGGACTTCAGTTAATAACAGTGTGTCAGTGTTGGTTCATCAGCTGTACCAAATGCTACCACACTAATGCAAGATGTTATAATAAGGGAATCTGTCCATGAATTTCTGTGTGAAGGGATATATGGGAACTCTGTACTTTCTGCTCAATTTATCTGTAAATGCAAAACTGCTCTAAAAAATAAAGTTTATTAAGTTAAAAAGTACGAAGAAGCAAAAACATGAAGGAAAGACATGGAAATGATTATCATAAATGTCATGATAATGTTTTCCTGAGTGGAGAGGAAAGAAGTTGTTTTGGAGCTTCTGGCATTCTGGTACTATTTAGGTTTGTTTGCTTGATGAAATTGTACATGTAGGTTTTATTTATTATTTTCTTTATGTATACTATATTCACAATTTTAAAAATCGTGGTAAGGAGGAAAAGGAATGAAGCAAGCCACAGAAGGATAGAAATCAAAGATAAACATTGCTTTCTTGGAAATTTATGACTACCATAATAGAGAAATTTAATTCAAAGATTAAATAGATAAAACTGCATATCATTCTGTGATCAAGAAGACAAAATCAAATATATATCCAAAAATATAGAGTGAAGACACAAAGAGATGGAAAATATGAATGGAAAGTTAAGGAACATGGATAATTGATGTAGATTTTTGCTTGTATCTAATAGGGATTTAGAAAGAAAGTACAGTCACGAAGCAGGGACTTAAATAATTAAATAAAAGAGGGAAATTTCCCTGCATTAAAGAAAGACTCGATTATTACAGTTGAAAGGATGCATTTCTTTGGTCAGGCAGGGTAAATTAGGGCAGACAGTTTTCTCGCATCTGAAATTGTGTATTTTAGTTTGAGTGCAAAAGAAAGGCATTTCCAAACACATGAGGGTTCAAAGTTTACTTTTCACTCATCCTGTCTTACTGGTGTTTTACCAAAAATGAAAAATTCTAAATACAAGATAGGATGTGTGCAAAAATGAGAGTAAAACTCATAGATAAATCTAAATAACTGATTGTTTGATTATTTGTAAAGTTTATGCTATTAAGAATCCCTAAAAGAGGAGAAGCTTAAGTTTAAAACATTTTTTAGAGAAAACCCCAGATTATTTCAAATAAACAGTGGGCAGAAAGTTTATAACTTATTAATAACCAGTATAAGATAATTTGAAAACACTGATCCAGTGAAAAACAGGAAAGGAAACAAAAAAGAAAGAAGAAATCATTGAAAATAGAAAACTTAAAATAAGATGGCTAGAATAGGTCCAAATATGTAAGTATTCATGAGAAATGCCAGAGTTGGAAAGTATTATAGTTTGGTTACTAAGAGAGATTCATACATTAAGATTATACAGAAAGATTGAAAATAAAGAATGGGGAGCAAAAAGGACAATATTCTTCAAGAAAATTGGATTGAAGTTAAAGACCATTAAGTGGGAGAAGAGAGGAACATTTGTTTTGATATTATTTTTAACCCACCAAAAAGACAATAACCCATTTACTGGGGACAAGCAAGCATCAGTATGTATATAAACAAAAGCTGTTAAGTAGTAGGAAGAGAAACCAAGGGACCACACCATTGTGGGAGAATTCAACACTCCTTCAGGAACTGAGCAATTAAGTAGGGGGCAAGTAATCAAACTATAATTAAGAGAATTTGAATATCAAAGTCACTGAAAAATAGTGCCATATACAATTTTGTAGCTTGCCCACAGAAGGTATCTTCCATGTCATTTCAGTTTTCAAATTTGTTGATAGGAGATTATACATGGACTTTATTTGTAATTTGTATTTTCCTCTGTATTTATGTTTGTTTTTGTATTCTTTGTATTGTTTAGTTTTGTTTTCTCTTTGTTGTTTAATTGGACTTAACTGTGATTTGTCTATTTTATTGATTTTATGTTTAACTTGAGCTTTTGGTTTCATTGATCAAATCTTTCATGTCTTCTCTATGTCATTAATGTCTGCTTTTTATTTTATCAGTTTTGTTCTCTCATTTATGGTTTATTTTGGCTTTTTTGGCCTAGCTTCATGAGTTGAGTGCTTAGTTTGTTTATTTTAAATCTTTTATGTTTTCTAATGTTCACATATAAAGATGTAATTTGTTTTTAAAATGGTGTTAGCTGCATTCCATAGGTTTTGATTTGAACTATTTCATTGCTGTTCATTTTAAAATAATCTGCAATATCAATTTTGATTTCTTCTTTAACCAAACAGTTATTTAGAAGTGTGTTTTTAAATTTCCAAGTGTTAAAAATGTAGATCATGGATTATTGGAGTCTTTACTCAC